CATTTTAACTGTAAATCTAAATTAATTTCTTCGACTTATGGTATTTCCATTTTACACGACAAAGTGCATTTTATGCATATGAAATTTAGTCTTGCGACTCATACAACAGTTAGACCTTTAACAAATTTTTATATCTAAACTCTGATAATATAAAAATTATATTGGAACGTGATGTAACAATTTTTTTTTTTAGTGGTGCCTCGGAGTCACCGCTCGAGTGCAAAGGGTTAACACAAAATCTGTCGTAAATGCAGCTTAGTTTCTATTCGATATCGAAGTCTTCCTCGGTGTTGCTTGCATTCGTCGGTGCATTTACTGTCGCATCGGACTGCATAGGGCTGAAAAAAGGCACAGCGTACGGATGCCGAAATTCTTTATTGTTGCAGGTTGCCGTATGCGGAGGCGATAATTAGCGAGACGATGCGTATGTGGCCAGTGTTCCCATTGATCGGTCCGCGGCGAGTTCTCTGCGACACGGAGCTCGGAAATTACAGAATACCGAAGGAAACAACAATCCTGATCAACAATTATTCGGTGAACAGAGATCCGGAATTGTATCCCGAGCCGGACAAATTTAAGCCGGAAAGGCACATCAAGAACGGGGCCTACGAACCCGACATGAACTCCATAATTTTCGGGAAAGGTATGAAAAACTGTGTACAAACTGAACAAATGGGATCTACAAAATGCCCGCGAATAAACTTTATGCATTTAAGACAGTAGGTCAAAAGTAGTCGTTGACACTTAATTCTCTTCTGTGCACAATAGTATGATCTGTTTTCGATGACGATTTCTGATCCTGCCCGGGTCGCGCAGATCAACGTAACAATTCCATGAAATCAAGAAGCTCATCTCAACCAAAACGGGATCATCGAGATGAGCAGTACAGTAAATTCTCCCCAATTGTCCTTCAGCTTGTAAGCAAAAATTGGACAATTTGAGAAGAGGAGATGCGATTATTCGAGCCTCGCGGCTCGTTTTTATAATTTGCCGATTGTCAACAATTATAAAAACGAGGTGCAAGGCTTGAATAGTCGTTTATAAATAATCATCCCAAATTGTCCATTTTTGTTTACAAGCTGAAGGACGATTGGAGAGAATCTATTATAGACGTCAGAATCTTTAGCACGCGTGAGTGTCGTTTCATTAAAGTGCCACTGCGCGTTATAACTGATATTTTAGTGGGGAATGGAAGTGAATCAAAATGTTTTGTCGTTAGTTATAGTGTTTATTCCTGTCTATGAGCGTGCGCGGGCGCGGCTAGCGTAGTGTGGAGATGTACAGAGTTTTTGGAACTGACCGGACCGACTGGGGTGACTGATTCGACTTGAGTGACTGAACTAACTGCCTTTGCGGAGTTGCCTTTTGCCTTTTTTTATAATGTTTGCGAGGGCAGTCATAAGAAGGGAAAAGATGAAATTCTCTTGGAAGGGGAAGAAAGGAAAGGTCTGTGCGAGTCGAGGTGTGCAAAGGTTCGGATAATTGTTTTATTGGGAGTGTTTTTAAGGGAGTTTATTAGGGCTGTCGTAAAGGAAAAGTTTACGAGAGAGGATTAGGAAGGCAAATGTTTGATTGCTAGCGGCACGCGCTCAGATAGCGGGTGAGCAGTGGCGACCGATGCGACGCCACAATATCTTTAGGAAATTCGAAATCGTTATACGACAGGAAAACGTCGTTAAACTCATTAATCGTCCCTGTCGTTTGTCCGTCACGTGATTGAAATGCGTACTCGAGAGTATCGGGGAACATAACTTTCGCAGTTTGAATTTCTAATCGATACGGGACTCGTCGAATTTTTCTGAAAAAACCGACGAAACATTATCAAAACAAAATTGTTGCAGTCTAAATATTATTGTTTTCAGGAAGAAGGAAATGTCCAGGCGCGATTCTGGCCAAGACTGCGACGTTCGTCATCTTCGTCGGCGTGATGCAGAGGTTCACTTTACTTCCTGTCCCTGGCAAAGAACCGAAATCCATAGAAATTATACCTGGTCTTGCGATTACGCCGAAACCTTACGATGTGCTACTGGTNCCTGGCAAAGAACCGAAATCCATAGAAATTATACCTGGTCTTGCGATTACGCCGAAACCTTACGATGTGCTACTGGTACCACGATAATGCTTGTCTGATAAAATATAGCATATTTACCTTCCAAGAAACTTTTTCCACAAGGCGTTCAAAAATTATTGTACACGCGAGAAATTGTTCCTGAGGTTATTTGAAGTAACTTTCTCCTTAGCGAAAATGCAATCCACGGCTTCGTTTACGAATTATTAGCGAAAAACAGTGACCAATGAGGGGCCAGCACGGCTGGCGCGAAGCGGCCGAGCCAACGAGCGGTCGAAGCCCNGCCGAACCAATCGGTCGAAGCCCAGTTCCGCTGATCGCCTCGGCCGCTTCGCGCCAGCTAATCTCGCCTCCCATTGGTCACTCTTTTTCGCTAATAATTCGTAAACGAAGCCGCGGATTGCATTTTCGCTAAGGAAAAAGTTACTTCAAATGACCTCAGGAATCCCCCATTTTCGGATTGCGAGACATTTTTGGGACACCCTGTATGGTTGCTCTCGCGAGAGCAGTAATTATCACCTCCCCTTTTCTTTCTTCCGTCAACCAAATGTACATATGCCAGAGTATTTGGAGCCAATCCTATGACCATTTTGGCATACCTGTTCTGCACTCTTTCTGCCTCTATACACCTTCCACACTCCCATACGTCAGCTACATATAGCAGTCTTGCCCTAACTGTAGTGTCCTTCCTTTTTAGATTGAGATGACGACCAAAACGAAAATAATGGAAAAAAACCGAAATCTTAAAACTTTATTATATCTCTGATAAACATGTTTCATTAGCGCTTACTTTATAGTGTAGTTATACAATATTACAATGTAATATGTAACGAAAAATGATCTTTTAAGTATAAAACTGACATAAAATTCGTGCTAGCTGTTTCGTCACTCAAATCGTATTTATTCATTTTGCCTATCGTTGAGCATACAGGATATTCACGTTACGATATGGCAGACAGATAGACACTATCATCAATGTTGTAGCGAGATTAATTATGATCGCGCGTGGTTGGGTAAAAAATGTTCAGAAAAACCATAAGCGAAAATAATCATTCGTGTTACTACTCGAATAAATAATTGATAAACCATTCGAACAACTAGAAAGAACAACGTGTTACGAACAACGATTGTCTTATTTAATTATTCTCCGAACAAACGATTCGACTTCGAAGAATATATTCGAATAATTATCTCAAATTAATATTTATACAAAACTATTCGACAAATTACCATCTTTATCTAGAAAGCTAGTGCACGAAGAGTTTTGACAGAAATCGTGTTGCAGAGAGGTTTGCGGACGTTGGTGGTCGCGTACAAGAAAATGAACCAGAAAGAATACACGAGGCTGATTGGCAAAGTACAAAGGGCCAGACAAGTGATCGGTATAGAGCGAGCGATGCGCACAGAGAAAGCCTACAATCAAATGGAGGGCGGTCTCACTTTGCTAGGTGTGACCGCTGTGGAGGATCGTCTTCAAGACGAGGTGCCGGAGACGCTCGAGTGTTTGCGGGTCGCGGGCATCAAAGTGAGACTCCCAGAGCTAATTGCCATCAAACCGTAACGCGGTTTCCCAAATTTATCAACTCAATCAAAATCAAATCTCCCCTTCTCTATTGTCTATCCTTACGCGGGACAGATATGGGTGCTGACTGGAGACAAAGCGGAAACCGCGGAAAACATAGCCTTCCTGTGCGGCCAATTTAAAGAGGGTACGGAGATATTGAGAATGGTGGACTTGGAAACGCCGCAAATATGCATCGACCGTATTGCGTACTTCGAGTGAGTGTAATCTGTTCTTCATCGGACGCGTTGCTAGTACAGCAATTTCTCCCTAATTTGCGCTCGAATTGCGCACAAAAATGGACAAATTCGGAAGAGGAGATTTGATTATTCATTGTCATTCAAATTGTCCATTTTTCTGCGCAATCTGAGCGCGAATTAGGGAGAAATTATTGTATTTGGGACTAATTTCGATAATCCAAATTACCAAAAGTATTACACTTACAGTAAATTCTTCCTAATTCGCGGCACAAAAATGGACAATTTAGAGAGAGGAGATACGATTATTCGAGCCTTGCAGCTCGTTTTTTAATAGAAGTTGACAATTGGTAACTATAAAATAATAATAGAATATAATAAAAGAATATAATATAACAGAAAAATATAGTATAATAAAAGAATAATCGTATCTCCCCTTCCCAAATTGTCCATTTTTGTGCGCAATCTGAGCGCGAATTAGGGAGAAATTACTGTATTTGGGACTAATTTCGATAATCCAAATTACCAAAAGTATTACACTTACAGTAAATTCTTCCTAATTCGCG